TGAGTCATCTTAGCACCAAGTGATTATTGTACCGAAAACGTGAATCTCGACAAAGCTCCAGAGTACAGTTTCGGCATAAGACCTGTTCTGGATAAACCGAGTGACGTTCCTGGTAAATTATACACATCTACGCATGAAACAAATTGCAAAGAACAATTAATCAACAACTAACAATATAATTATTTATAATTGCAAGATACCATCTAATAGTTCTATAAATCTGCTTCGATAAAATTACTTGCAATCAATTTAACAACAACAATTCGTGTTAATACCGATCGAATAAATTTCTTTAATTAGGTCGATTTGAAAGTTTACATCTTCACATACAAAAATTTATTTTATATAATTTCCTTACTCATTATACAAACTCTAATATATATGAATAAGTACATTTCAGGGTACAATTAACAAGTTCAATTTATGCTTTTACTTAGGATGATTCTACATTTAAGTAAAAATAAAAAAAAAAAATCTTTGCGACGTTACACAGCATCCATGATCATCGATATCAAAATTTGAAAAGACGGGCAAGCATTTAATGGATAGGTATTGGATTTTAATCTATTTATAAACAGATCAGATAATTAACGTGTATTATGACTGTGTTTCGCATTAATAGTAAAAATGTAGCTTCGCACGTTGCTTTTACATACTAATTAACTGATTCTTGATGCACGTTTGTCACGTAGATGCATTCGATTGACTGTAAAATTAGACAAATTGCTTTTTATTTAGATGTATATTGAAATATCAAAGGGATCATAGTAATCAAATATATGTGTATGGTAATTCTTAATACTGAAAAACGGGATTCTAATCTTATTGTTGGAATAAAGTAATTTCATTTTATTTTATTCCATATCCTAGTTTCTAAAATCATCTTGTGTATATACGTACTTTGTTGTCTTGAAATAATTTATAATAATTTGTAACTTTTAGTTAATTATAGATGTTAAAACTAGAAAGAAGTAATGCATGAATAAAACTATATAGGTATTCGTCAAAAGACATAATTATTAGAAAAGTTTTCATAATATGTTTTACAAAGTCGATATAAAAGTATCGTTTCATTAATGAAAATGAAATAAAAATAATAATAATATAAAAAAAAATTACTATTTCGAATGAAATAATTTCGAATGTAATAGATATATTGCTATTAAAATAAAATTTAATTTTAATACTCCCCAGCACCTGGTGCCTATTATCCCGAAAAAGTAAAATTGAACAACGCACCTCAATACAGTTTTGGATTGAGAACTTCGCTCGATAAATTGAACGATACACCAGGTAAAATATTTATACAGTTAATTATTAAATTAATTAAATAATGTCTTAATTATATTAATCTTTGTGTTTCTTGATAGCTCCGGGAACGTACAGTCCAGAAAAAGTTAATTTATCTAAAAGTCCTCGATACAGTTTAACTGGAAAGGGTCACGAAGAAAAACCGGTCGATACTCCAGGTAGATTATAATTTGTTATATTACGCTGGTCAAATTTTTTTAACTTTTTTTAACATAATATAAATATTTATAGCACCTGGTACTTATCGCCCTGAAAATGTTAAGCTGGATTCTACTCCACAATTTAGTTTCGGTATTAGAACGCCATTAGATAAAATTAGTGACACACCAGGTAGAATTCTATAATAAAATTGCATAATACGCGTATTTATAATGTACATAATATAATTTATAATATATATTATTTCAATGTTTAGCGCCAGGTACATACAGTCCAGAAAAATTTAATTTGGATAAAGGTCCTCAGTATAGTTTAACTGGCAAAGGTCCTAGTGATAAACCTAATGATATTCCAGGTATGTTAACATTCTAATATTTGTGGAAAAAAGTTATAATTCATGATGATTATAATCATTGTAATAAAATGAGAACAATATTTTTTTATAGCACCAGGTACATACTGTCCTGAAAGAACTAAATTAGATCATTCTCCTCAGTTTAGTTTCGGAATACGTACATCTCTCGATAAAATTAGCGATACACCAGGTAACTATACTGTGATCTTTCTTTGGATTAATTTTAATTTAAAAGTTTTTTCTTTAATCTTGTAGCACCTGGCACTTATAGTCCTGAGAAGGTAAACTTGGATAAAGGGCCACAATATAGTTTGAGTGGTAAAGGTCCATCTGACAAAATTGATGATACTCCAGGTATTTTACGCAATTTTTATAAACTAATTTTATAATTGGAACAATATATATATTTTCAAATTGAATTTTAAGAATCATATCGTTTATTATCTATCAAAGATACATATTTTAGATTATAAGTAATTTTTTACACGAGACATATATTTATTGTTATGCAGCTCCCGGCACTTATTCTCCAGAAAAAGTTAAATTAAACAAAGCACCACAATATAGTTTTGGTCTAAGAACTTCGTTGGAAAAACCGAATGACACACCTGGTATGTGTTAGAAAAATATTATAAAGTTATATAAATGAATGTTATTAATGTTATATTTTATTTACGTTATTTATAGCCCCTGGAACTTACGCTCCTGAGAAAATCAACTTGAATAAAGGTCCTGAGTACAGTTTAAGCGGAAAAGGCTTATCTGAAAAACCAAATGATTTCCCTGGTTAGTATATTTTATATTTTTATATACAAAAGCGGGCTCTGTATTTTATCTATTAATAATTTTCGTTTTCTTAATAGCACCAGGAACATATAGCCCAGAAAAAGTAAATCTGGACAAAGGACCACAATTTAGTATCTCCGGAAAAGGAATGACTCCAAAATTAAATGACAATCCTGGTAATTATATCTCTTTCTGATATTTATCCTTTTATCTCTTTATTTCTCGATTAACTACGATGGAATTAACACCTTAATTAAAAGAAAATATTTAATATCTTCATTGACTTAATAGGCCCTGCCGATTACCGTCCAGAGAAAGTAAACCTTCAACATAAACCTTATTTCTGTTTTGGTAGTAGAACACCTTTGGATAAACCTAAAGATACACCAGGTAACGGTGTGGATTAACCAATTGCTTTAATGCTTCGATATTATTTAAACAAAAAAATACCACCCTGTTCTGTATTCAAAATTTATATGAAATAATTCATTAACTATGTAACAAATAATTATCTACTAATTATTAAATTATATATGGGCGCAATTTTTCAACCTTCATTTTACAAAAATATCATATCCTTCTTTTTTCTTAACATTTTATGGAAAATAAGACGAAATTATATATATATATATATATATAATTCGATATTAATTCAAATGGAAAGTGTAGCTACATTACGCATATATGTACGTAGGCTATGTCTTATGCAGAGATGTAAGAAATGTAGTCTATCTTCAGGGGCACACATTCAAAAAAATTACTTCATTTCATCTTATTGTCAGTCATAGGTATATCATTTCAAATCACTATATGTATATAATATGTGATATATAATTTTAAGTGTAATGCAAAATGCTTCATTTACTGTATTTGACACTAAAACGGAAGTTTTTGACAAGGAAATATTTAATGCTAATAATGATATACAATTTTTATTCAAAGATGTTGCTATAAAGTGATGTTTAGAAAATGTGTTATTGTATATTGACTTGTTGAGTATCTAGAATTAAGACTTGTTAATTGAATTTAATTGTATTTATTCGTTACTAATGTACTGTCTTATTTTTATGTTTTTATGTAAAGTGTTTTAAAATGACTATCTAAAATACGCTGAAATAATTTAGTTTTTTTCATATTTTACAGCACCTGGAACCTATTGCCCAGAAAAATCGCAATTAGACAAAGCTCCTCAATTTAGTTTTGGTATGAGACCATCTCTTGAAAAGCCCAATGATATACCAGGTGAGAACAAATTCATTCAGTAATAATAATTTATAATTTTCAATATAATCAATATTATTACAAATCTAATTAATAATGAATCCATTAAGGGGTTCGAAAATTAGAATTTCATTTATCTAAAAATGTATTATATTGTTCACACTTTGTACTTAGCACCTGGCACGTATAATCCTGAAAAGGTAAATTTAAATAAATCTCTACAATATAGTTTTGGATTAAAACCTGATATACGTCAAACGTATACAATTCCAGGTAAGCAAAAATATATTTAAAAAGTAGTCAGTAGAAATATAGACTTGTAGCCTAATATATTTATTTGAAGGACCTGGTGAATACAGTCCAGAAAAAGCCATGTTTTTGCTTGAAAAAGCTCTACAATTCACTTTTGGTCTTAGACCTCCAATGAGCAGATTAAATGATACTCCAGGTAATTAGAAATACCTGCTTATCTAATTTGTTTAGATTAACAAAAGCGTAAGTGTTGTATATCATATTTAGGTATAGCATGCATTATGTATTTGCACTTGGTAGTCATTGCTTAGTAAAGATTCGTAATAAAAATGATATGATATTAATCTCGCATAAAATATATTAAATAAATGAAATGTAATAAATATACGATAACGATCAGCATAAGTCGATTCTGATATACAAGTAATCTTTATTTTTTTTTGGATTTCTTGTAAGTTAATTTGTTATTATTATTAACTAATGTTACATATCATTTGTATTCTTTTACTCATAGCACCTAACGTATATAACATACCTTCTGCCCTCGGTGCAACAAAAGAAGGGAATAAAAAGACATCACCTGCATATTCAATTTCTGGTAGACAAAAGACTTTCGTCGATGAAAGAATTTTAGTCCCCGGTCCTGGTACATATGAAACTATAAAGCCAGATGCAGTTAGAGTCAAAAGTCCAGCTTATAGTATAAGCGCACGTTTAGAGGTACCAAGTGATCATTCCAAAATTCCCGGTCCTGGCGCACATTGCCCAGAAAAGGTAAATAAATATTTTATATAAAAGATGACAATATATCATTTATGCAAACCTATATTAAAAAGGGTAACTTAAAAACAGTAATATTATTTTAGGTTCTTCTAGACGTTCCTCCGGCTCATACTTTCGGTATTAGACATTCACCTTATATTTGCAACTTGAAAGATGTGGTTTATTAATTATAATTCAAACGATGGATATATTATCTTATTTTTAAACTATAAAAATAATTTTATTACACATATATATTATATACCTTCATGTTTCATGAATTACAGAATAATTTTCGTATAAAAAGTATTTCAGTCTAACTTTATCAAATTATAAAAATATATTATATATGTTTTTATACATTAACATGCTCACATATGCTTTATGCAAACAATATTTTGTTTTTAAAATTAACTTCTATATTTATATCAATTTAAAATTATATAACAAATGATCACAATCATAAATGCAATATATAAATACTGTTTTAAAAATAAAACATTATACAATAAATTGCAAATAATTATTTCACTCGCATTATTTTTTTTAAATATAAACTGCACAGCAATATAATACTAAAACATTAGATTTGTGCAGACATATGCTACACCACAGATTAAAAAAACAAATAGTATTTAATAATTATTATATATATACAATCCTCGTAAGAAATTGATATTAAGAGATATATAAAATATATAAAATGTAATTAAGTAACGAATAAGTACATGTTGTTTAACATGATAGGCATAAAATCTGAAGCTATTAAATAATATATGATAAGGTATTATTTAAAATTTTAAATATTGTCTGTTTCAATATTCTCACCTTGTCAAAACGTTAAAATATAGTTCATGAAGATTGCAAGGTACACTTGCATTTAGTATAAACACAATCTCCTGATATCCATGTAGATAAAATTTCAAGATTATCATCTAATAAAACAAAATCAGCATCAGCATCAAAATTTAATACACCTTTTTTAGATTCAATGTTCAACGTTCTTGCTGGATGCAAGGTTGCAGCTTCTAAGGCTTCAACTACAGAGCAGCCTACATTTAAACCATTGCAAAATGAATAATGTATCTACGAATTTAATTATACAACTTGTTTGTTAAGAAATATTGTATTTACCTGTTGCCTCCTTAAAAATACGTACACATTCAGACATTTCAGTTATACTACCACAAAGAGTATTGGTGCCAGTAATATAAGCATGCCCTTTACGTATTTCTATATCAAACTGACCTAGTCGATGTACACCTTCTTTTAAACCCAATGCTGATATTGCATCCGTTACAAGAACGAGTCCTTTTATTGTTATATGATTAATTTAATATATTATAATAGTAAAATAAGAATTAAAATAATATATATATATATAAACATTTATTAACCTTTAGGATGTGTTCTATGTGCAATTCTTAATGCTGCAGGATGAGTATGCACACCATCAGCTATAATGCCAAAATGAACAATCTTTCCTGATGGTATTTTATCAGATGTCAATAAACCAACTAGTCCTGGATCACGATGATGGAACTATAGGATATAAAATTAAATATTTTATTAATAATATTAGGTTATATCCAATGAGTATATTATATTTACTGGCAACATAGCGTTGAAAAGATGTGTAATAAACGTGGCCCCACTATTTACTGCTATTTCCCCCACTTCTAAATTGGCAATAGAATGTCCTACAATGATAATATCAAAACAACAAAAATAAATAAAAAAAATCGGAAGTATATACAATGTGAAGGAAATGTAAATAGTGTAAAATATATTTCGATAAACTTACCTACAGAAACTTTAATATTTCTTCTACATAATTCATTAATAACAGACGGCGCAGAATGAATTTCAGGTGCTAACGTAATAAGACTAACGTTTTCCAAAGTACCATACATATCAATTAATGATTTAAAATCCTGTGCAATATAATAATTATTTAACAAATAAATATAATATTTCTAAATATTATCAGATTAATTTTATAACTCACAGAATCAAATTCTTTAATATATTCTTCAGGGTGAGCACCTTTTTTATGAATGCTTATAAAAGGACCTTCTAAATGAACACCTAAAACGGTTGCTCCGTGACTACCACCGTTTTGTTTTTTAATCTTAGGCAGTACTTTATAATATGTATCACTAGGAGATGTAACTAATGTAGGACAAAATGATGTAACGCCATGTGCTAATAAATTTTTGGCTACCTTGTTTATACCTTCTTCAACGTTCTCAACATTATGTGAAAAGTCTATACCAAAACCACCTATTTAATAAAAAAAAAAAAAAATACTAAATACATTTGTAATTATCAATAAAAATATCTTATAAAATATAATTTGCATAATAATATTGTATGATGTTGCATATCTGTAGAATTTGTTAAATCTCTCTTGTTGACGTTTTTCTAAAATTGTTTTATTTGCTATTTACATTTCTATTTTTACCTTTTATCAAATTATTATGTACAATTTTATTTTATAATCACCATGTATATCTAATAATGCATCTTAAAAATTTATACAATTAATATATGTATAATATTTTATATAATAATTATTGTAAGATTAAAAATATTTCAGAAAAAATTGACAGCGCTAAAAGTGATAAAAAAAAGAAAAATAACAGAGATCATATATTATAAAAATATAATCATATTATCATAAAATACCATTAATTTGTAAATCTATGTAACCTGGCGCAATTAGTGCGCCTTGACAATCTATTCTACAATCGGGTAAAACTTTTTCATCGTAAAAAATCTTTTCTGGATTTATTATTTTTCCATCACGAACCCATAAGTCTTCAATTATAATCTTGCCCTCTCGTAAAACTGTACAATTGTAAAATTGTTTCAATATCGATTTACTAGTATCCATTTTTCGTATTTAACAAAAAAGAAATGTATAAAAAACTGAAAGATATTATAATAAGAAAATATTATAACTAAAAATCTATCCACTTTTATCGAATTTCTCTTATCAAACTATTTGCTCGTGAATGCCATTGACCTTTGAATTGTCAACGTATTCAGAAGATGTCGCTAAAAACACAATGCATACGCGGTAAGGTCATACAAATAATTAATATATGTTATGTACGTAAAAAATATTTCTATTTTACCCAATGTAGATCTGTATTACAAAAGAATTATTATATTTTTTTATGTACAGTCTTTACACAGTAATATTTAGAAACATACAAGTCAACTCGTGTAACACACATATGAATATATTTAATAATCTTTAATGTTTAACATATTGAAGATATTATTGGTACACAGAGAATATTACTTACCACACGTGTTGATATATACGCGTTTAAAAAACACATTGATACAATTAAAGAATTAAGGCAAAACGTTAACATAAAATCACTACCATAATTGATACTATTATATATTTCATTAAAGTATTAATTATATTTTATTTCAAATATCATGCAGAGTTTATATCTAATTTTTTTTTCCTTCGAAACATTATTTAAAGAGTTTAGAAAAAATGTTGGTAAATTAAATAAATGAAATCTACATATAGTTTTTTTTTACTTTTGTATTAAAAATGCTTCAACAGTACCCAAAATTTGTTCATAGATCAACGCGTCTGAAAAAGAATTTAACCAGCCTTTTGCCTGCATATATAAACGTAACAACAGTATAAAACGCAGTAATTAAAAATGACAATAATCATATTGAGAGCATAACTGTTACACTTATGACATTGTTAGATCTTAGCAGTAAGTAGCTATATACTATTCATTATTAACGTTGATTTAGAGGGAGGATACGCATAATTTTATCGCTGGTATGTTGAAGAGTGTCTAGGCTTGATCTGGAATAGGAGATATGATATGATTAGATGGTTCATACAAAGTGGATTATGTTGGAGCCGAAGGTGCAGGATATCTAGGCAGTTATCGGTCAGGTTTCGTTAGTATATTCGTGCTTACTGTAACGCTCGAATGATTTTTTTTTTCTTTTTTTATCGCAATTCATACGAGATTCTACTGTTGTTTACATTCGTTAGGATCCTCGCCTTGTTTTTTCCCACCTGAAGACGCATTGAACGGAGAAGATTCTTCATCTTCATCATCTGAAGTTGTAATGTCATCATTATCATCTTCCTCTTCTTCATCTTCATAATCTTCATCATCTTCTAATCCTTCACCTAAAAGTAAAAGATATATATAAAATATATGAAAAATATAAAACAGATCAATATATAATACAAATTCTTTAATAAATTACCTGTATAGTAAAGTACAGCTCTAGGAACTATACGTTCTCTAATATAATGTCCAATTTCAAAATCACTTGTAAGCAAAGCTTGAGTTTCATCATCTAACTCCGCTTCTGCATCATCTGGCACTATAAAATATCCAATTATTTAAAAAATTACATCATATTATGAACATATTAATAAAAAAATATGTCTACTTACCAACTGGTGGGCTAAAGAAATTAAAGAATGAATCATTTTGAACAGTTTTTGTTACTGTACGCATAGAACCTCTAGATTTATGCTTTTGATTTTTTTTTATTGTTTTGACCGTTACATTTTTTCCCTTTTTCCAATCAATTACACAACCCTACAAATGATAAACATACATTTGTTTTAATATGTAAAAATAATGTTTTTTATCAAAAAATATATTTGACATATTTAATAAATTAAAATATAATAATTATAATAAGTTACCTTGCTTTTATATATTTCAGGTCCTTCAAAACTGAATGGATCATTTTTTTCTGGTACACATCTTATAATATATTCTTTAGTAAGAACAGAATTGGTAAAATATTCATTCGGTGCAAAATAGAATTCAAGGACAAAACCCTAAAAAATTACAATAAATTTTAAGTATTATTAATAAAATACTACAAATTAGAATAACGTTAAATATATACAGTTTACAAGTATACAATGTAAACATTATTATATATATTACTTACCATTGGATTAGATTTTAAAAATCTCACTTTGATGTCATTTAAATGTAATAAAATTGGTTCATCATGTTCTTGTACCATATCAGCCAACATTCCAACATTTTTAAATATCGTTACCCAAAATGCAGGTATTCCTTTAACATCTTCATTTTCAGTTCTAAAACAAAATAATTTTATTAAATTTCGATAGAAATTTCATTGCTATAATTAGATTTTTGATAAAGTTATACAGATTAAATAGTATATAGATAAAAACTTACTCCTCTTTTTTTTCCTGAGGACCATCAAGATCTGCTTTCGTTTTTAATTCATTTGCCAAGGCCTCTTCATCTTCATCACTTTCCCAGACACACTGATCATCTGTTGGTTCGTATGAACCAGAAACTATTAGACTTCTTTTCTCGTATAGCGGTGCACACATATTGTAATAAGCACATTCTAAGGCATGTACTTCTTCATAAAATTTGGCTTCAATGTTAGTAGTGACCAATTGCAGTTGTTTGAGAGCCTTAATTCTACGTTTAATAGGTGCTGGTAGCGACTGCATTTGCTAAAATTTAAAATATTTGTTGATATGATTAGATTTATTTAAGAGAATATTTTCAATCATAATTAAAGATATTAAGTAATTTCATCGATAAATATGATTAAAATATGATTAATTTTTATAAATGTAAATATGATTAATTAATATTTTCAATAATTAAAGCATAGACGAGTATTTTATATAGTATTATAATATATATATAAATACACTATTTTATAAAAAATTATTCTTAAATTGCTTCGAATCCTATGATTATTTAATAAGTAGTAGTTTCATAAAAAACATATATATTAATTACATGCATAAATGACAATTGTTTAATAAACATAATAAATATGTCAATAAGCAGCAAACCATATCATAGAAAAAAAAAAGAAACTTGATTTTTAACATAGCAAAGTAACATATGCATCTACTAATTTATATTTTTTTATATAAAGCAATAAAAAATTGTTTAAACTGATAATATAATGTTGGAATACCTCTATCCCAGGTGCACAAACGAGATCTTGTAGAGCATTTATTTTTTCAGTGGTATTAAGTTTTTTCGAATCTAGCTCTGAAGTATTGCGTTCATCTTCATCTTCAACAGATTCCGTATCAGTAGTATCTCCGGCACGTTCTGGATCAGTGGTCATAGTACTATAATCCAGATTTATTTTCCATGAAAGATATTAAAAATAATACATTTAAAGCTACATAGATATTTCAAAATCTATACAATCCGTCTATTCGTTAAATCTTATACTATAATTAAAATTATATTTTTGTATATTTAAGAAATAAAAAATATTAGAAATTCTCAATTTTGCTACTTTTAATTCATTTCTATATGCCAATTTTTAAAATCGAATAATAAGAACATACAAAACTGATACGGTATCTCATTAAACACAAAAGGCTGAGATTCCAATAAAAGTAATGTACTGCTATCAATATAAAAATTTAAACTTCAGCAAAATATTGTTAAGCAATAATATATGATATGCATAGTTTTGACAAAAAGTTTAATTTTATAGTGCAAAACTTTCAATTAGTACATCATTTTTTTAGAAACATGACTACCTTGCTGTATTATATCAATTGACTATTTCTCAAATATTATAAATGTTAAACGATTTCAAAAATAATACTGCTTAAAAGTTATTTCGTTGCAAATTAAAATACATGCGAATGAACATTAACATTTAACACACAATGTTCATAATACTAAAAGGTTATTTGTTGGGATATATGTAAGCATCATAAAATATAAAAATTTTTCATTTTAAAATGAGATTAAAGTAACAAGTAGAAATGAAATATTGTAATTGATTAATTTTTCATAAGGAAAATTTACGAAAGATATTACAAAAACTTGAAAAGAGATTAACAATTATAATGCAAAGGCATAGAGACGTGCACATGGGATGAACTCCGATCTCAAATTTTTGGCGTTATATCTACCTAAAAATACTAAAGTAAATTGTATATAAAGAATAAAAGTAATATTGCAATAATCACATGCTTCAACTAGGACAAAAAGATATTTTTAATTGTAATTGCGTACCTCTTAAAAATGATGTCGTTCAGAAAAGAAGGAACAAAACCAGGAACAACGAACCGGCCGTTGTATCGATGGTTTTATCGTAGCTTTCGTTATACGTAGACGATGCGAAGTTAGTTGCTAGGCGCGTTTCGAAATTAGACAGAAATACGGACCAATCAAAATGCTTGGTTGTTCGAAGTAAACTGCCAACCAATAGGAACACCGATTTTTCCGTGATTCTAAATTTTATTTGTTTTATTTAAAGTGTAAAATCATGTATATTATAATATATTATTTAAAACTAAATGATTATTAAAAGTCTTTTTACAACAATTTTATTTTAAACATATTATAATTTGTTATTTTACTATATTTCATTTTTTCATAAAGATATGAAAAAATTAAGTGAAGCTAATTTCATTGTGTAGTTACAGAATAACGAGTGTGTATCGTCCTTTGAAAAATTTAATAGATTTTTCAAAAGAACTCTACTAATATTTTCAGTATAGGGAATATTTGTTAATTATATTCAATATAAACATTTCTTTTCTACAAAAGTTGTCTCTCTCTCTCTCTCTCTCTCTCTCTCTTTCTCTCTCTCTCCCCCTTTTTTTATATATTATGTATAACTTTTATTACTTTAAAGAGATTTTAATGAAATGTTGTAGTACAAGTATCTTTCTATGCATAATTTATATTTGTAATTTACATGATAACATTATAATGTAAAGGTTGCTAATGATACATAATTAATATATTTCTCCTCAAATAATTATAATAATATTGGTACTAAATTAATATCTAAAAATCTGTTACACGTCCTTTTCTTTCCCAATCCCCATAACGAGTTGGTTCTGGTCCACGTGGTCCACCAATTTCACCTGTTTTTGGATTTGTATTATCTGGAAATGGTTTCAAAGGTTCTTTTTCCTGGTAAGGATGCTTTCCTTCTTCAAACTCCGGCAACTTTTCTATTAAATGTAACAAGTAAACGTTTTATTAATATGTTATTGTGTACTTTTTGTTTTCCATTAAATATTACAAACCTATCGATGTACGTTCACGCAATTTTTTCCTAAATTCTTTAATTCTTTCACTTTCCACTTTTCCATTTGTCTTTTTCTCAGAAAACAAACGCGTGCAACCTATGAAAAGACTACGTATAAGAAGAAATGCAAATTTCTTTAAAACAATTAAGTTACATCAATAAGTATCACTCTGTCCTTATTTATATTAACAACCTATTTATTGTATTTAATTCTTTCATTTCAATTATTATTCGTGCATTTTGCACCATATTAGGCAGAACTTTGTTACCAAACATTTTTTCTCACTAAATTAATATAAATCCTTTAAAAAGGTTAGGTTTCTCTTTAGTTATCAGCTGACTAAGTATTAGTACATATTCTTAGTAATAGGCGTATATATTCAACACATAGATACTTTTACGAATTCAATATATTTAACGACTATTAATTTATTTGTCGACATTTTACGCATTAAAAAAATGTGAAGAGATCAATAATTAATATATTATTTATTAGCTATTAAAATATCAAAGAGTTTACACTAAAAATTAAAATAAAAGAATATGCAACATTGATGCAACACTTTCGAAAATTACTTACAACCAGTTAAATATTATTATGTAGATCGGCAAATATGTTATATAATAATCCAAAGTGGGGAGCTACCTCTTCAGTTTATTGAGTTTCCCTTTCCATATTTCTTTCGTATCCTTCCGTTAATATCATATAAACGGAAATATTACATAAGCGCAATATTTCATAATAGAGACAATTAATATAAGAAATAAAGTAACACTGACCAACATATACAATAATCAAAAGTATAAATTCTAGATTTTATTTAAATAAATTAATAAATATAGCGATAGTCATACAAAGAATTGAATTTCAACTCGTTATTATTTTTCTATTATAATAGGATTAAATAAAAATTCTAATGAGATTACGTGAATTGAAAAATGTTGTAATTTTTAATCGTACAAATGTTTGTTCAGCTTATCGTCGATGCAATAAATTAATAAGCATAATATGAACTATTTATGGACAAAATATTTTCTATTAATTATACAATCAATAGATCGAAAGTATCACCAACAAAGTTTTATCAGTTGTTCAAAAAAATACTTCAATGAAAACCCAAATATAAAACTTTGAATACTGGATTAAACCAGAAATAAGTACTCTATTATTTCTACATAAAGGTTAAGGATTATCAAGGATTTATTTTCCATTGATCGTAAAACAAATACGATCATTACAATGAGCTTGATATTAAAATTTAATTATCATTATTATACATTATTATTATTATTATTGCTAATTTTTTATCTTGTCCCTTTTGTCCTAAATTCTTCATGTATAGATTCCTTTCCTATGTAAGAAAATTTCCGTTAAGAATATTTGATAAGAATAGTTATATTCATAATCGATTTTGTTTTTCGCGGCTTCTACATTAAGCGACACTAATTTTAATAAAGATAGACGATGCGTTACCAATCCACCATTATAGTCAACAGGTAGTCAAACTAGTTGCTCAGTTATCATATAAATACTTGCTCTTAAATATTACTGATTGATTTCTACAAAAGAAAATCTAGAAATAAGAACCGGTTTGGTGAACAAGTACTCGAGTGAAAGGTCGTACAAAAGGAAGAACACAAAATTAACTATACTTGATAACTCCCCACCATTCGTTGTTATTTTCAAGTGATAAATTCACAAAGCCGACTGACTAGTACTTCTGGTTTCTACTTTGAAAGTCAGTCGATTTACACGAGCATCGATCGATTCAAGTCTTTTCTTACGTCTCTTCAGAATGGCTGATCAAAATGATAAAAAGGAACGAGTTATCAATTTCGGTGCTGGCCCGGCAAAATTACCAGAAGAGGTATTTCCAAATAAAGAATTAATTTTTTTCTTGACTCTAGTTATGTTTTAAAATCTAAATCAATGATCTATATATTATGGATATTGTATAGTGTAAAGATATCACGTGGTTTTTGTATAAATTCGCGATATATACGACAAATGATATTTCTTCTATTTGTTCAAGTAAAATAACATTGAGATATTTCTGATGTATTGAAAAACATATTACAAAAATTTATGAATACTTCAAAAAGAGAAATTTGAATTTCATTTTTTTAATAATATTAATTTATTAATATATTTTACCATGGGATATAATCCGTAATGGATTCAACGATTTCTTAGACACCCTATATGCAGGTCATAAGAGTTCATTGTACCATAAATCGTTTTATATGTATGATAAACTTTGTAGGTATTGAGAGAAGTACAAGCAGAGTTACTTTCGTTTATGGGTACTGGGATAAGTATACTCGAGTTAAGTCATCGTTCGAAAGATTTCGAAAAAATTGTCAACGGCGCGCAAAAAGTTTTGCGAGATTTATTGTAAGTTCGAAATAAAATTTTCATTTTTATCGTATTATCGAGAAACGAATATTACACTTATATGAATGGTGTTTGTGATTTTACAGAAAAATCCCGGACAATTATAAAATTTTGTTTATGCAAGGAGGAGGCACAGGATCGTTTGCAGCTATTCCTTTAAATTTAATGACCACCGGTACGGCAGATTACATTGTTACAGGTAAATAATACGTAAAATATATTAGAAACTTATTATGCCATTCATTTTTTCTTACGAAAAAATATAATATATGAAATTTTATATTGTTAGGATCATGGTCAGCCAAGGCAGCGAAAGAGGCAACTAAATATGGAAAAGTTAATTTGGTTTTACCAAAAGTAACGAAATATACGGGAATTCCGAAACCGAGTACATGGCAATTGGATTCGAATGCATCTTATCTTTATTATTGCGCTAATGAGACTATTCACGGTAACTCATGCAGAATTGAAGAAAGCTTAATAATGTTATCTTTTATTTACATAATTGTTTTTTAGGTATTGAATGGGATTATATTCCGGAAACAAACGTACCACTCGTTGCCGATATGTCATCGAACATATTAACGAAACCTTTTGATATTTCGAAAGTATATAACGCAATATATTTTTATCTTGTTTTTTTTTTATAATTGTAATATCATTACATATGTAAAATTTGTTGTAGTTTGCATTAATTTTTGCTGGAGCACAAAAAAATATCGGACCAGCTGGCGTTACTTTGGTAATTGTACGAGATGATCTTCTTGGTCATGCTATGCCAGTTTGCCCAACTATTTTAAATTTTACAGTCATGGCAAATGATAATTCTTTGCACAATACTCCGCCACTTTTCCAGTAAATATAATGACATTTTTGTTTGTAAAATAAGTTGAAAAATTAAGTTTATTCATCGTTACGTTACGTTTATTTTAGAATATATTTTGTGGATCGAGTATTTAATTGGATAAAAGAGTGCGGGGGAGTTGAAAGTATGGAACAAAATGCAATTAAAAAGAGTCAAAAGATATATAATGTGATCGACAAATCTGATGGATTTTATAGATGTCCGATCGATGTAGATGCACGTAGTAAAATGAATATTCCATTTAGAATAAAAGACGATGATGAAGAATTAGAAAAGGAATTCCTTTCTGGTGCAGTCGCTCGTGGAATGCTTCAGTTAAAGGGTCATAGGTTAGTACGAAACTTTCAAAAAATTGCTCTATTAGAGAACTAATGAAAAATGTGATATCAGATATCTGAGAAATATGATATATGAGAAATATAAAGATTTACTCAAGTGTTCTATTATAAATATGTTGCAGATCTGTTGGCGGTATACGTGCTTCATTATATAATGCAATTCGAGAAGACGAAGTAGAAGTATTAGCAAAATATATGGAATGGTTTTATGAACAGCATAATAAGAAGTAAAAACATTGACCATCTATGCTAATATGAAATAGCTTGCCAATATGGAATTTATTGCTCTGTATTATTTGTAAATACAAGATGTACCAGTTTTGAAATTAATATCTTTTATAAAATCTTAAAAGAAATAATATTTTCTATATTAAGTAAATTTTTTTATTTGAAATTGGAGCTAATTTATATTTCCGCTATTATGACAATTTTGTGAATTATCTTGTACACATTTGCATTTAATCTCAGTTTCAATTCTTTGTTTTTCAAATACTCTATCTAGTGCGATTTCCAAATTAGAGTTAGTCCTACGTATTCTATCTACAATAGCTTTAGCCCACTGTAATATAAATGTACTTAAAAGTTTATCTTTTTATATATTTTTTATTTACGAGATAAAGGCTTTATTGGGTATGAAATTTACCTTAAAGTATTCCTTTACTCTTTCAGGTGTCCAACCAATTGGAGTACTCTTTTGAAGGTCTCGTAAATTGTATAATTTATCTGCTAGTAATACTAATTTAGCTCTATGACTTCTTTTAGGTGCATTTTCTATTTGCAAACGTTTACGTTCTGCTTTAGGTAGAGCCTTATCATCAGTTACTTCTTGAACAACTTGACTCACTGTATATCCAAATTCTTGTTCGATTTCATCAAAACTAGTATCTGTATCTTCTACAGTGTCATGCAAAAGTGCAGCTAAGATTACAACAGGGTCGTATACATCACCTTCGTGAACTAAAATGTTAGCAACTCCTAAAATAATAATTTGTTCCACATTCTTTTAAATACGTAAAGTATTATGTATTAATTTTCTAATTTTGTTTGTTATATCAAACCTATGGGATGGTTTATATAAGGTGTTTGTGCAGCATCTTTCCTTTTTTGATTTCTATGTTTTTCTGCAGCGAAGTTAGTACATTTAATAATCAATGATATTAATTTATTATTTGAAAGTCTTGGAACACAAGAGTCACAGGGGCCACTTTCCTTAAATGGATCAGAACATGTTACTTTTTCAGTAGTACTTTCTTTTATACCAATCACTGGATCTGCCATTGTTGCTAAAAAAACGCTTTTTGTTATGTCAAAACGAGGGTCTTTATATTTGTAAGTCATTATATGCGATTGCATATTTTCTATATTTTCATTTAACGTTTTAAGTTGCAAAAGATAGAGATTACTCATTTTGGAGAATATTTTGTATTGTTACTGTTTCAAAAAAATTTCTCTTACTTTACATAAATAAAGACAGGTACTATTATACTTTTAAAGAGATATTTATTTTAAATAAACAACATGAACGTTTTCAATTGTTTTTAAAATTGACGTTTATTAAACAAATGAAATGAAATGCACCGATTAAAAATCTGATGATATATTGAGTAATTTTTTTAAAATCATATTATATAATATAATGTATATAAACTTTTGAGGTTAACTACACAGAAAATGCGACTCTTACTTAATTACCTTAAATGAATATCAACTTCTGTTGCACTACGCTTACCTAATTTTAAAACTAATTGTAAAATCTGTAGGATACGTTGTCGATAGTCGTGAATCGATTATATTACGTTGACAATATCGATAAGTTGCATTTGACTATCGCCGCGCCATCTACTAGTAGGTACTAACATTTTCTATGTAACATTTCGCAGAAATTGTCAGCTGACAGTTTTTTATATTATGCTTGCATTGTGTACATATAAAAGTGCATTGAAAAATTGTCAAAATGACGCTCAAAAGAAAATTGACACAAGAAGATTTGAGGAAGGCTATGAGTGAACATAAGAAAAAATTCGAAATAGTAAAAAAGATAGAATCACCTTTAGCAAAATATCCTTTTCATATTACTACACTGTTAAAGTTATATATAAATTAATTATTATAGTTTTATTATTTATATTAGTTATATTAGTTATTACAGTTTATTCTATTTGCATATATATAGATAAAATTTTTTATTAATTTCCTTAACATAGTACACACATATACAGATGCAGGTCAATTAATGTGCATTCTCTGCAAATGTATTGTGCGTAGTGAAACAGTCTGGGCCGTTCATATAAATTGTAAAGCTCATAAAGAAAATGTAATATTAGCAAAGAAAACAAAGTTAGAACTTGAACGACCCTCAACAGCTGTATCATCTACATTTAAGAGGCCTTGTTCCCCATTAGAAGAAAATACTATAAACAAAAAAATAAAGGGTATACTCAAGAATCCTTCTAAGCCACTCGCACAATCAAATTTACCAGCAGATTTTTTTGATGATTCTTCTAAACAGTCAAGCGTCCCTTCTACACTGGTCATTCCTATACCAATTCAAGAACCAAAAAATTCTTCAGAGGAAACAAATAGTGACACAGAGAACAGAACGCATACAGATATAGAAAATAATATTGATAAAGAAAAGGAGAAAGTAAAAGAAACGAACCAAGCAGCCCTGCCAGAAGGGTTCTTCGACGATCCAATTATGGATGCTAAAGTAAAATCTCAAAAAGTATGACTTTTATAAAGAATGTCTATATGTTGCCTATCTTTTCAGGTTCGTAATGTTGAATACAAAGATCCCATTGAAGAGGAATGGGAAAAATTTCAGAAAGAAATTAAAGAAGAAACAGCTCAATCTGCACAAATCATAGCCGATGATCAAGAAGAAGCGACGACAGAGAGGCAAAGAGATGAGATAGAAGAACAAATACGATATTGGTCAAGGTAAGAATAATAAATACATTAAAAATAATTTTTTACCCTTTTATTATTTCTTATATGTAATTTATTTAAAAGGGTAATGGACTTTGTAAAACGGAAGGAACAAGTTCAAGCTACAGATAGAAAACTGGAAAATATAGAAGATGATATGTCGACTGATGATGAAACAGAATTTGATGAGTTTTTAGATTGGAGAGCAAAGAATTCTTATAAATAAAATATATTTTTCGTGTACTTACGTTCATTAGTTATTATAAAAATTATGTTTTTATATTTCTTTAGTTGCTATTAGTATTATTTAAACTTAAGAACTTGATAAAAAATATGCAAAAATATGAACCAGTATCACAAAATTGGAAATTCTAAATCAACAAAATGTATACAGTGTATTAAGATTTTATTAAAATGAATTCAGAGTCAGAATATATAATTAAGTTTCAAATACATTTGGTATATGTTATACATTATTTGTTATAAGCTATATTATATGAAATATATAATATAAAGATTACAAGGTACGCTAAGCCGCTATTAAAGTATATAGTATATATATATTTTTATATATATAGTACGTTTACAGATCATATTGTAACGATATTTATTTTCGTGGTTACACGTGATATTTTATAAAATATTTAAAGTTTTGGAAAAAAAAGGGAGATTTGTATAATATTTTATCCGCACCTATCCACACTGAGTTCCTAAATTCTATTATTCTAAATTAAGTGTTCCTTTGCTTAAATTCTGCTTATGCTTTTACACTATGATTTCAATTTTATTTTATTTTCTTTTTTACTTTCCCTGATCATTCAAAAAGCCATTCCTTACTTTCTTAGAGGCTTAGATGTAACGCGTCATAGAGCTTAGTAGTAATTTACTTAATTATAATTTATCATACGAGTAAAAGCGGCCTACGTATGTACGATCAATGTAGACTATATATGTGTGGACATTATTAAAATGCATTATAGTATTTTTTTTATCAACCTTGCCACATGTATATAACCTTACGTCAGATCACAATTATATATCATGGGTTGCGTCGGCATATATATATATATATATATAAGTACGAATATATCGGTGATAAAATATATGAATGTGACTTATCAATCTTCAAAATGATGAAGAAGAAAGTAAGTAAAATTGATTATAGAGAGAGAGAGAGAGTAATATAATATTATCGGTCACAAAAATGTTATACATTTTTGTATAGCTATTCCTGAAAGTAAGCGATCATTTCCTATACGTATCTTCTTAGTATCGAATATAAGACAAAACGAGTATATCTTTCACTTATATTATACATAATACAATAAAGTGATAAATCGATCACATTAAGATATTAGGAATAAATCTTTTGTGATAAGTGCCTTATGTGACGAGTTAAGAAGAAAAATCGTAGATTAGGATTGTGAAAAAATGTCTTCGATAACGAACATGTATATCGTCTCCATTCGATTCTCATCCTATCTTAATATACGACTGTCAGATTCTATCTAGTGAAGAAACGGAAACGCTTCTCAAATACTGTATAATTGCATATAAATTATCGATTACTAAACTATCGTATTAATCTATCATCTGTTGTTGTTGTAGATGTAGTTTTAGTTGCTGCTGCTGCTGCGTTTTTCAGCGCATCATTCTAATTTTGATTTCACGGTGACACATCGCATAATCGTTGTCATCGAGAAGGATATTTAAAACTTTTTCTCAAATCTTTCATTATGATAAAGTAAAGTTCGATATATTATTATCTCTCGCAATATATAAAAAGAAATGATTTGTCACAGGTACGACAGATTGTAAATGGTATTCGAAATGATTTCGATATATTTGAATTATTCAGGGGGATATAATTCGATCGATTTTATCGAAGATGGTGTCAAAGTGGTCCAAACACTTCCCCATATTTGCACCACTTGCACCTCTTCGATCGGAAAAGATCGAAACTTCGTGGATTGTTTAACAGACATTATCGAGAATACGTGTAATTGCGATTAGTTTCTATAAATCGCGCCGAATCTCTCGTTATTGAATTTTTTCAGAGCCGACGAAAGTAATTGTTGGATTGTTTTAAGATTTAACTTTTGTGCCGGTACAATTTTTATATTTGACGATCGATTTAATCGATCACAAAGTCGATTTTCTAATAAATTCAACATTTCAAAGGAAGAGGATAACATTTCTGGTAAATATTCAAGATGATAGGAGACGAGAGATTGGATATTTTGGATTTGATATTAAGATAATCATTGATATACCAAGGTAAATTGATTCTTATCCGTTGAATTAACGTTATACATAAATAGATATCTACGGTATTGTTACACGCATTGGCGATGATTGGCGATCGAAGATCCTAAGACGTAAGATTTCACATTAAAGCGTAGAAACGAGCCGAGCGAAATATTATACGATTATCGAATATTTTATTATACCCGGCGAATAATTATCATCATTCCGGTCTTCATCATAGTTTTAACGAAATGGCACTTGCAGAGAAGCGATTGTAGAATACGCGAAGTATTTTTGAAAGATCGCTTAAAATAGAATTTTTACAAAAGTCAGCGAGTGTCTTTGAGTAAGAATTAGAGGAGGCACTCTTGCGCGCGCGTCCTATACTTTCCTTTATATACCATTTTCTTCTCATTTAGGGCGGAAAGAAACTATGCGTAAATCCTTTTTCTTTTTTCTCTTTTTTTCTTATTTTTTTTGTTTCGTGCATTAACGCGGCGATGCACTTATTAAACTTTACAATAGTTAGTATAATATAACGAATTATTCAAAGAGAGTGTACGCCGATATGCGGACATTTAAGTACACTTCTTCGAGATATTTTATTCTTCTTCCGTATCTTTTTCCTTTCTTTCTTTCTTTTTTTACCTTTTTTTTCTTTGGTTCATTTTATTTTTTTTGTTGCAATCGATCAGCGTTACGCTCTAATTAATATCTATTTCTAACGCTCGCTAAACTTCGTACTTTTTATTCGTTAAATCTTTCTACGGCTTGAGAAGAACCAAAGGATATCATTGACCTCATTCGAATCGATGAATCCTTCGGGACACGTCACATAGCAAAAGTATATTCAATGTTTTATACGTTTATTTATAGATAATCATATATCTAATAATATCGTGAAGTAATTCGATCAAATCCTGAAATCGAAACCTTCCCCTAATTTCGTTTCGGAATTTAATCGATATTTTTGTTCTTAGCGATTTAAATTAGTCTAATCTTAAAAATGTCAGATGAAGCATAGATTTGCGCATAATGCGACACACGCACTCTTTCTTTTATCTTTTTTTATTTTCATTCATTCTTTTTTCCATCCGTTCTAGTCACACGCGCGCACGCACGCACGCACACACACACACACACACTCTTCCTTTCTTTCTCACAAAGTTCCCCTCCCTCTGTGCATTATTTTCTTTATATCTTTTTTCTATATTTTATAATCATTTCATTCTACATGTAAATAATTTACGTGCGCTTTGCGCAGAAGAGGCTTAACATCTAATCAAATTTACGCGAAAATGCAGATGTTAGAATATTATTAAAGATTTCACAGGTGCGGACTAGAAAATTTAAGCGAATATTTACTCCTAAATAACAATAATGTGATTAATAATAATATTAATAATATTGAATAATAGTAAAGACGTGATTAATATAATAACAAGGGAGAACGAAGAACTATAAGATAATATACGTTGCACATGGATCACAGAGCAGACACAGTCAATGAGCGATTTTCAAAAAGAAAACAAAAAAGAAATAACAATCTACGAATAGTGTAAATAGTTTCTTACAATTAGCTTCGTTTGAAATTGTATCTACGCGGAAATAAAAAACGTGTACGCGATTTCATGTAATCGTTTGCTGCATTTTTTTTCTTTCTTTTATATCACGTCTATGTTGTGTGTACGGATGTGTGCGTATGTATGTATGTATGTATGCGTGTTACGAATATATAGTTTGTATGTATATGTGAATTTATCTATTCGTTTAATTTATAATAATGCATTTAATATACGCGCAGTTCGCAGGCACTAAATTGCTCAGATACAATCGTACTGGAGTTATTTTTTTGTCTTTCTTCTTTTACATATATTTAATGATATTCTTATAAGTCATTAAGAAATTCGAAATATAATTTTTGTCTTTAATCAAGCATCTTTTCTTCGTAAAGACTTTCTTGTGCGAATTAAAGAGATAAAGATATATTATATAAATATGTATATATATACATATATTATATTATATATATTATATATGTATATATATATATATATAAAGTTATGATATATACCATTGGTCGTTCTACCTATAGCAAAGTGTTTCGAGGCGATCGTTCGAATTTACCCGCGTATCATTTTCTTATTAAAATCTCATTCGATGACGTTTTATTACATTCTTGATTATTCGATTATGGCGATCTCGATACATATATATTTACGTACATATACATATGCGTATATTTTATCTTCTTTACTCTTTGTCTTTTTTTTTCTTTGTTTTATCTTTTTTTTTTTTTTACATGAAACTTATGAAATTATTGGCGGCTGTATGGTCGGCTGCGTTTATCATTTTTTAAAAGTAATACTATCAAGATGATTTCCATTTGGAAAATAGAAAATCGTCGCCTCGAAATATAGAAGCCTATTTGTTACGTATTTATGTTTAAATCTAAATTGAAATTTATGTAGATAATTTACGTTCTACACTTACTGTATCGTACGATTTTAATTAGGGCATTCGGTATCAGAATGAAACGAATATTCGAGATTATTAGATAATACATAGTCGCGATTTAAATTGATTTTACTCGAAAGTATATGATCGAATCTTATTCGTACTTATAGTTCGGTCATAACACTACAAGAATAGTTTTGTTAGTTCTTCTATAGTTAAGTCCTCTTTCTGTTATTTTATATTTTTTATTCTTTTCTTTTTCTTTCTTTCTTAAAACATCATTCGAATATTCGTACATTTCAATACGATTAAATCGTGGACAGAAGATTAACAGTATCGGGATCATACGTTGTGTGCTAATTGCAGTGCTTACGACGCGATGATGCTTTGAATAATTTCGATATTTATTCTTCCAAAATCTTGAATCAAACACTTTCGTCTGGTCCCTTTCATATTGGCTTCGCGACACCAGTCGAGTTGTGACATTGGAATTTTTTTTTGTTCGATGTAAAATATTATATATTTTATTCGATATCTCTCTTTCTTGGTTTTTACTTTTTGTTTCTTTTTATTATTTTTTTTTTTTTATTATTATTCACAATCTTTTTTCGTCTATTCTCAAGAACGGTATTTAGATCGTTCCCCCTATCTTTTGTTCGACAAACAAACAAAATTACCTCCGACTATAATCACGCCTAGTTGTCATAATTTTATCCATTTGTTTTTTTTTTTTTCATTCGTTAATAATACGCATACACACACTGGATGGAGATTTCACGAGTAAAATTTTTCTTCCTTTAGGATATAGACGCGAAAATTAAGGTGTACGAATATCG